GCCAACTTCCTGCGCAAACAGAGGAGACGTGTGAAAGCCTACATTTCCATCCATGCCTACGCCCAGATGCTGCTGTATCCCTACTCCTACAAATACGCCACCATTCCCAATTTCAACTGTGTTGTGAGTGCTGCTTGTTTCCGTTCTCTTCTTCCGATTGGCCTGATGGAGAACAAAAACAGATCCTTCCTTGTTTAACATAAAAGGACTTGGGGCTCCTGAGGTGCATCCCTGTGATCCGGATGTCGTGAGTTTGTGCCTGGGTCATGTTACGAGCTGACTGGGACTCCCCAGGTGCAGGGCACAGTCAGCAGAGCACTCCTAGGGTAGTGTTGGTATTAGTCTTTGATTGATCTAATTTCTCAGTGAAATAGCACTTCCTATGAATTCCCAGGTGCCTGCAGGCTTCCAGTGACCATTTCCTCCTGTTCACGAAAACCTTCCCATAAGGCATTGGCCATCTGGCTCATACTGTACTGTGGGAAAAGATGAATGCCTTGAGATGAGCAGGTTGGAAGAGCCTGACCTGACTCATTATAGGAAAGGAGCCACTGCTGTGAGCTGGGGATTTCAAATTTCAAATTGGAAGTACAAAAAAAAAACATTGTGATTGGATGGCACCAATTTTATAGTTTTACGTTGCCATGCCTATTGAACACGCATGCTTGTGACATCACCCGAATCAAGTTTTGCCTTAGCTGCATTGCTCCCGAGTGAAATGTGTCAACACTAAACGGATTAGTAAGAAAACGTGTCATTTGTGTTTCAGGAATCTGCAGCCCACAATGCAGTTGCTGCTCTGTACTCTGCGTATGGTGTAAGGTACAGATATGGCCCAGCATCAACCACTTTGTGTAAGTACCTGAAGAATATGAGGAAAGTGGCTGAAGTGGCTACCTTTGAGATATTGATTTCTTTCTATTATCCAAAGTGTAATACATTTTTTACAATTTTGCTTGTAATGTTATGCTCATTGCCATTTTTTCTGGGTTTTTTTTTTGTGCTAATGGCACAAAATCAAAAGCACTATTAGTGATGTTCCCTGAAACGATACTCTGTTACTCCTTTACCTGAAAATTAAAGCAGGAAGCCTGAACACGTCTCTTCAGCAGTTCAGCACACGGTCCTGTGTTCCTCAGTAATCAGCGTACCCCACAGGCTTGTATTTTAGGGCCATCAGAGCAAACAAGTAATTAATAATAATTATAATTGTTTACACTTATATAGCACTTTTCTGGACACTACACTCAAAGCGCTTTACAGTTAATGGGGACTCCCCTCCACCACCACCAATGTGCAGCCCCACCTGGATGATGGTGGGTGCTAAGCAGACAAATCCTGAGCCCAGTCTGTGCAATACTAGGTAGCAATGAATATTGTGTGTGTTTTCAGATGTAAGCTCTGGGAGCTCTATGGACTGGGCCTACAAAAACGGCATCCCCTACGCTTTCGCATTTGAATTGCGAGACACAGGTCATTTTGGATTCCTCCTCCCAGAGTTCCTGATCAATCCCACCTGCACCGAGACCACCCGGGCAGTCAAGGCCATCTCCTCCAGCCTCCTGAAGAAGTGCTCGCGTGCGACAGGGAATATTTTCACTGTTGACTGGACTAACGCATCAGCGTGATGTGAAAAAGACTTCTAAAAATTCTTGACAGGGCATCTCTGAGTCAGGAAATGTTTATATGTATCCGTTGTTTCACTGCGCACATTTTATATCTTAAGATGCATGGAAAAGGATTGAAAGACTAATTTTCTATTTAAAAATATTTAAATCTAAATTGCCTATACATTTTTAAATTTTGAAGATCAATTTTATCCTGACTGTTTTATTTTTTTCTCTGGATTTTGCGAGAGGATTGTGCTGCGAAATCACAAATGGCCAGTACTGTAAAGACATGTCGACTCGTTTTGTTTTCCAAATGAGGGAGAACAAAAATTAAGAGCATTAACTTTAAAATTCAGACATTTTTTTGTTCATTGTAATGACATTTTTTTTATTGTTTTCTATGTAAAAGACTATAGGTGACAGAACATGTGTAATACGGATTAAGAAAGATTAGACATATCTACGAATGGGTTGTGGTATGGTGAAATAGTACAGGTGAATCCTATTTAATTTTTTAGACATGGTTAAGAAAGGTCTGTAAATGAATATACCATTTATGCCATGATGTATATACAAATAATTAGGATGTCAGTTGGAAATAATGTGCTTCAGTCTTTTCTGCTCACATTAGCATTACATTTAGAAACCTTCTGATATCACCAGGCACTGCGGCCAAGCTCCACCAGTGTGAATGAGTTTAATGCAAATCAATAAAGAATAAACAGAGTAAATCAAAAGCTAAAAACGGGATCCTAAATGGTTTCGCAAATCAATTAGGAAAAGTATAA